ACTAAAAGTGGAAGAGAAGGCAGAAGACTGTGTTGTTGGAGGCAGTTGTTTTTACCCACCAGTTTCCTACATTAATAAAAAAAATCCCTTAAATATCAGCACTTTTGCCTCAGACAGAGGATAATTCAGGGCCAGTAGTATGTTTGGCATTCTGATCTAACAGTAGGTTTGGGTACTACTGTACCCTTTAATATATCTTCGTTCCATATGAAAACTGAGCTTATGAAGGAAGTGGCTATACAGCATTACGGACAAATGATCAGCACATTTTTTGTAACAATTTTGGAAAGCATATTTGATGAATGGCAAAATTGTCTCTTAATTTTGGGTCATAATCATAAAAGGTTTCAAGCCTTCAAGAAGTCAATCTTCTTTCAATGTTGGAAAGGGAGGATTTCCAAGACTTAGAAAGATGAGAAGGTTCTAAGAAGTTATTACATGGAGTTGACTAATGGACTAGAAAGATCTCCCTTAAAACCAAATAAAGGTTGGCAGATTTTTGGTAAGATCCCATCCCGTTTCCCAGTGGTTTTTGTCCAATGGTCAATTACCTATATTGTTAATATACTTTTTCTTAGATCAAATGTGTCCTCTTGATATAATTTAAGCCCATTCACATTATTCTTTGGTTTTCATGAAAAATAAAAAAAAATTGTGCCTTCTTTAAACTAACCATTTACTAGGGGATAGTTTGTATAGAAGCTCTATCGCCATGATGTCAGGACAGGTCATTGAAATGTGAACATTTCATGTATGATGGGGTCCATTATGCAATAGCTTCATCTTATGCTTAATTAATATCATGTCAGACACTGAGCATATCACCAAGAAAAACAGGAAGAAAGGAAAACTAATCAACCTGAGCCAAAATGACTTAACAAAAAGCCTTGGGGGTAAAATTGAATTTAGTAATTTAAATCACATTATATTTTATTATATATTAAATTATATTTTAAAGATTCCTTTCTGTTATGCATATTGATCAGAGACAATGCAAATTTCTGCCACTCCAAGGGACCATTGACATGAAGAGTGACAAATGCTTTAAAAGCACCTGTCCAGCTACGGTAAAATGAGAGAAAACTGGATAACAGGGCTGGTCACATGTAGGCCAGTATGAGAATAGAAATACTTGAGTAGAATTCTTTGTTGCATTCTGTTTTGAAATTACATCTTATCTATATATTGAATTGAGAAGAGGAAAGGGAATAATATTGATGAAGAAACTTAGTCTTTAAATGACACTGAAGATCATGATAGCAATCAGAGATTAAGTGACTTTCCAAGTCATATGTATAAGTTTACGATGCTAGATTTGAACTTAGGTATTACTAACTCTTAGTTCAAAACTTTATACACTGAACCATCTAACTACTTAACAAATCGCTTTGTATGACTCTTGGATTCTGTTTCTGAACTCGGTTCTGACCCAGTTTCCATTACAGATACAGCACTACTTGCCACTACTTTCCAGTAATGTACCTCCACTCTTTATATCCTGCATGTCAGTTTTGTTTCTGGCCTGTAAATAGTTCAGAGAATTCCCAATCATGGCCATCCCTCACACCCCAGACTCAGAGAAATTAATTATAACATGGAACTTACTTGGTCTCACCACATGACTGGGGCAGTAAAGAGAACTTTCAACCAAAGAACTGAAGGTAGTATAAAATGTCAGATGAAAAAGCGCATGATTTCGCTGAAGGAAGATTGTGTGTGTCTCTGTGTGTGCATGCATGTGTTTTGTGTGTGTGTGTGATTTAACTCTGCAGACAGAAAGAATTCATTGAGAAGAGATCTGACTAACCAAATCACATGTCTCTATTTTGGGTCTGTGTTATAATACAGTTTGATGACTTTGTCAAAATTTAATTTTGGAATATCAAAGTATTTTTAATTTGCCTCATTTTAATTCAGATCTTTGTTTTTCTTTTTTCTTTAGTGAACAAAACAATCTATTGTTGTTTGGTTTTTGTGCGCATACCCTAACAAAAGAAATCCTAACCACCTACTCATATGGCATCAAGCAATCATTCATCAGTGACTGAGTTCGCCATACAAAGTTTCTCTGAAAATCCTCAGGTTCAGATCTTCCTCTTCAGCCTCTTCTTAGGACTTTTCATAGTGGCTTTCACAGGTAACTCCCTCATTGTCATTGTGATCAGTCTAAATCCAGGCCTCCATATACCCACGTACCTTTTCCTTATAAATTTGGCCTTGATGGATGTTCTCTCTCCCTCCACTGTGGTGCCCAAGTTGCTGCAGAACCTAATGACCAAGAACACCATTTCCTATGGTGGCTGCATAGCTCAGATCTATCTCCTAAGCTGGTGTTTGGGGGCAGAGCTCTTGCTTTCCACAGCCATGGCCTATGATCAGTATGTAGCCATCTGCCAGCCCCTCCACTACAGCACTATTATGAGCAAGGCAGCTTGCTGCCTCATAGCATCTGCAGTTTGGGCTATCAGTGGGACCAATACAACAATACACATTATATTGACTGTTCGCTTGTCTTTTTGTGGTCCTGATTTCATGGATCAATTCTTTTATGAGATTCCTCCACTATTGCCTCTCTCCAGCTCCTTAACCTATATCAACAATGTCATGGCACTTGAGGCAGACATGTTCTATGCTATTTTCAATTTTCTGCTCATTCTGGTGTCCTATGGTTTCATCATCTCCAGCATCTTGAAAATCCGGACCAAGGAAGGGACAACTGATTATTACATCCTATGAATAAAATGGACTTTGAATGAAGTAGATTTTCAAATATTCTTGATAAAAACTGAATTGAAAAAAGAGCTTTGAAATACACATATAGAACTATTTATATTCTAATGGAGATAGAAAAGAATGTTAAAAGATTTCCTTTGGAACCCTATTATCAAAGGGATCATAGAGGAAGTCAACTGAAACACAGACTGATAAAGAGTTTTGTTTTGAAGATGTAAGAAAAGAGTCCATTGGAGAATATACATTAAGGAGAGATGGGAGAAAAATGGGAGCTTTGTGAAGACATAATCAGCTTTTATCCATAGGCATATATCCAAACACAGTTAAAATGAAGAAAGTGAATGTCTCTTTAATTAGGTTTTAATCTAAATTGGTCAAAAGATGCCAGAACACAGAGAGTTTGGTATATAAATATATTCAACTGAACAAGGAAAAAATAAGAAAAAGGAAGAGGGAAAGGGGAAATATAAGTGGAAAGGTGTATTTAGGAAGCTATTGGTGTTTTTCAATATAACAAATACTACACTTGGACAGGGGATAGTAAGGAAATGGTTAAAAGTGGGGAAAAGAACAATAACTTTAAATAAACAGGAACAAAGGGCTATACAGAAGGAAAACCACAAGAGAATTAAATGGACGGGAGTAAACAATTATCACAGCTGTGAGTGTTCTTTCGATGAACTTTTCTATAAGAATTTAGAAGAATTTCAAAGTACCAAAAATTATTGTATAGAGCTTGAAAAAATAACAGCAAAATTCATTTGGAATAACAAGATGTCTAGAATATCAAGGGAGCTAATGAAAAGAAATGTAGGGGAAGGTGGCCCAGTCATTCCAAAAACATTTATAGCAGCTATTTTTGTGGTGGCAAAGAATTGGAAATTGAGGGACTGCTCATCAACTGGGGAATAGCTGAACAGGTTGTGGCATATGAATGTGATTGAATACTATTGTACTACAAGAAATGATGAGCAGGCAGACTTCAGAAAAACCTGCAAAGTATTGTATGGACTGATGCTGAGTGAAGTGAGCAGAACAAGGAGAACGTTGTACACAGAAACAGCCATGTTGTGCGATGACTAACTTTGAGAGGCTTAACCCTTCTCAGCAATGCAAGGATCTCAGACGTCTCCAAAGGTCTCATGATGGAAAATACTATCCCCTTCCAAAGAAAGAACTATGGAATTTGAATGTAGATGGAAGCATACTATTAGGTACATTTTGTCTTTTGTGTTTTGTTTCCTCTTTTTGGTTGTTCCTCCTATTAATTCTAATTCTTCCTTACAATATCACTAATGTGAAAATATGTTTAATAGGATGCATATGTAAAGCCTACTTCAGATTGCATGCAATGTTGGAGAGGGAGGTAAGGAAGGAGGGGGAGAAAAATTTAAAATTCAAATGCTTATGGAAGTGATTGTTGAAAAATTAAAATAAATTAATAAAAAATCCCTTTATTCCTGGTATAAATCCCACTTAATCTTTTAGCTAGTATTTTATTTAGAATTTTTGCATCCATATTCATTAAGGAATTTGGTCTATAATTTTCTTTTTCTGTTTTGCTGTTTCCTTGTTTAGGTATCAATATCATATTTATTTCATAAAAATAATTTGGTAGGATCCCTTCTTTACCTAATATTCCAAATATTTTATTTAATATTGAAATTAGTTGATCTTTAAATGTTTCATCGTATTCACTGGTAAATCTATCTGGTCCTGGTCTTTTTTACTTTTGAAGCTCATTTCTGGCTTTTTCAATTTCTTTTTCTAAAATAATCTGTTTAGATATTCTATTTCCTCTTCTGCTAATCTAGGCCATTTATATTTTTGTAAATATTCTTCCATTTCACTTAAATTGTTAAATTTATTGGCATATAATTGGGCAAAGCAACTCATAATTCCTATAATTTCTTCTTTGTTAGTGTTATATTCACCCTTTTTATTTTTGATACTAGTGATTTGGTTTTCTTCTCTCTTTTTGAAATATATTTATATCTAAATATAGTCTTATTTTTTATGAAAAAACAAAAGTTACCCAGCAAATATAATACCAAAGTTGAAAAAGTTGGATTTTAATGAATTAGAAGACTAACATACATTCCTGATGAAAAGAACAGCTATGGAAAAACATTGAAGGTCAAATACAGGAGTTAAAAATCATAAAAAGATAAACATAAGGGAAAAATAATAAACTACTTGAATTCAAATATGGGGGAATAATACATGTATTTCTTCTGTACCTTCTCATCATCAGTGCTCATGGAGGGAGTCTAGATTAAAAGCTTGAGAGAGATTTTGTTATGTGTTGATGGTCTTAGAAGAATGGAAAGAGAAGGGGAAACTAATACATTGGAAAAGATGTAGAGGGCAAGAAAGGTTAAAGAAAAGTATCTTACCTAATCAGGGTACACAAGTACGCTTCTATTCAAACAAGAAGCATGGGAGCTGATATTTTAACCTGACTCTCATCTGAACTGGTCACAAGAGGAGAGACAAGCATGCACACACACACACACACACACACACACACACACACACACACACACGCAATTGAGCTTCACATAGTAAAGTGTACATGCCCCTTTTCTACTTCTTCACATAGGCTTCATCATCTGAACTACTTCTTTTCCCAGTCATGGAAAAGCAGGATTGCTAAAAACGTTCTGTATTGTCTTGATGTCTAGAGTGTGCTACATCTGTGATGTTATTTAGTCATTAAACACTATTCTTCTAATTCAACTTTCCTGTTGGGAACCCAATTCCATTACTCATGTCTTCTGTGAAATTTCACTTCCCCATCTCTTATTGTCCTCATGTACTTCCACCTGTACAAATAATACTATAACTCTCCTGGCAGATGCGTTCTATGTATGTCATTGTACATTTTCTGTTTACTTTGATGTTCTCTGTGTTCATTATGTATAGTATAATTAAAATCCAGACAGCAATGAGGAAGAAGATTGCATTCTATCCTTCCCATCTCATTGTCTTGTCCATATATTACTAATACATTTTAATTATACTATACATATAGAAGTCTTAGGCAGATAGGTGGCACAGTGGATAGAACAGTAGACTTAGAATCAGGAACACTCATCTTCCTGAGTTCCAATACATCCTCAGACAATGACTAGCTTTGTGACCCTGGGAAAGTCACTTAACCCTGTTTGACTCAGTCCCTCATCTGTAAAATGCATTGGAGAAGGAAATGGTGAACTATTCCATTATCTTTGCAAGGAAAACACCAAATAGGGTTACAAAGAGTTGAAAACAGTTGAAAAATGATTAAACAAAATAGAATGATTACATAAGGCTTGCATCTAACCAAAAATTGTTATCACCATTATCATAATCATCTTCATCACTTCATTATCTTTCTTGATGGAATACAAATAGAAAAGCCCAAGTCCTTGTGCTACTATTATTCTTTCATATTTAATATATTATGGAGCTTTGTGCAGGCAGATAAAATGAATGCTTGCTGTAATTGAATAATTCTACTGGAATATATTCTGTACTTCTGATGATTCAGTTAAATTAACCTTAGGACATCTCCAGGAAAAGATAGGATGATATAGGTGACATGTACGTAATCTTTTTGCCATAGGGTTTTAATCTCTTCCAAGTCTCCATGTTTTGAAAGGTTTTTTTTTCAAATAAATTGGCAGTTTTGAATACTTGAGGTGGCCGCACCTATTAAGAATCTTGTTCTTCAGAAAGTCCAGAATATCAAGGAAATCAATGAAAAGAAATGCAGGGGAAGGTCACCTAGCTATTCCAGATCTAACATTTTATTATAAAGCAGCAATCATCAAAACTCCTTGGTAGTGGCTAAGAAATAGAGTGTTGGATCAGTGGAATAGGTTAAATATCTAAGACACCGTGGTCAATGATTTCAGCAATATATCATTTGATAAACCCAAAGACCCCAGCTTCTGGGAAAAGAACCCACTCTTTGAAATAAACTGCTGGGAAAACTGAAAAGAGTATGGCAGAAACTAGGCATAGACTAAAATCTCACACCATATACCAAAATAAAGTCAAAATGGGTTCATGCTTTAGATATAAAGGCAGATACTATAGGCAAACTGGGAGAGCAAGGAATAGTTTACCTATCACATCTCTGGAGAACAGAAGAATTCATGACCAAACAGGAGATAGAGAACATTAGGAAAAGCAAAATGGGGTTGGAGTAAAAGCAGTGACTTCCTGAGCTCTCCCACAAGCCCGTCCAAATACCTATAAAAATGGCTCTAAAGAAATTCTAAAGCAGCAAAACCCACAAAAAGACAGAGTGAAACAAATTTCCAGCCTATGACAACCTGAATGGTTGATCAGAAAGGTATATCACGCCAGGCTGGGACAGGAGCACAGTTCGTCCAGGGTGCACAGGCCGCAGGGAACCTGGAACAGGCTTCATGGGACTGAATCACAGACTGCTGTGGCAGTTTCCAGACTTCTCAGCCCATGAATGCCCAAGACAACTTAGAAGGTCAGTGGGAAAAGTCTGTTTCTGTGGTGAGAGAGAAATTAGGTCTCAGCCCTAGTCCCTGAGTGCCGCATGGGGTGGTGGCTGCCTCCTGAGCTTCTGGCCCACAGACTGAGGGGGAATTGAGTGGCATATTAGAGGGGCATTGCAGGAATCTCTTTGCCAGTGCTGAGGTAGGAATCTCTTGCTTTCCCCAATCTTGGATCCGGGTCACAGTTCTGAGGGGTGGTCCTGGGGTGAGGAGGAGCAGTGCTGGCGTGGTGGAGCTTGTAGTGGTGGTGGAGAGGAAATTCTCCTCACAGTTCCAAGACAGAAGAGAGGGCCTTGTGGTCACTCATAGACGAGAGCACAGGCCAGGAAAGGAATAAACACCTCACCCCTATTCATACCACCTTGGAAGAACTTAAAATTTATATGTCCCTAGAAGTAGCTCTGAAAATAGCTGGACAAACCCCTGAAGCTTGGGACAGTACATTCTCCATATTGGAAGCAGACCTCTACCTTAATAAAGAGT